AATTCTTGCTTCATATTAGTAGGGACGTAATATAATATAATATCGCTACAATTAAGTTTGGTAGAGTTGGTACAAAAAAAAAAAGAAAAAAAAGAAAAAAAAATTGTAGACTTGGAAAAAGGAAAAATCATGGTTACCATATTCACTTGATGTTAAAGTAATAGCTTGATGGAAAAAACACTCGATGAATTCAAAATTCAAAATTTTTAAAAACCTGTTAAATATGAAACGGAAAGTTTTAGAGGATTCAAGCACTTATATGAGTTAAACACAGCCTCCAATGTCTACCACTGGAAAAAAAAAATATCTGAGACCACTGGCCGATAATGTAATGAAATCTGGATATTTTAGAAATAAACTCCAAGAATGTGAATGTGCGTAAAAATTCAAACTTTACACGCGAGTCGTGTCAATTTTCATACAAAAATCAAGGGATCGGACGAAAGAGATAATCAATTCATTTTTCACAAAAGAACAAAGAAAAAGAAAGGGATCAATTTAAGATATTTTTAAAGGAACCGAGATTATTCCAATTTGGGGTTTAGATATTTTCAGCTTGATTTTGTGTTTCTAAATCAATTCTTCGTCTCTCCCATCGCTTTTTATCCACTGCAATTCCAATTCTGGCCTCAAATGACCCATTGAGTTTCGTCTCTCTCCACCTCTCTGTAATTAATGGCGGCGACGAACGCCCCCATCTTTGCATCCTCCTTGAAGACTTCTCTCGCCATTCGAACCCAACGCAGAGGAGAATCGTGCCCACAATCTGCTGGAACTCACGGTAATTTTATTCCCAATCTGCTACTTCCTGTTCTTTGATTTGATCTATAGACTGCAGAGTAAATGGGGAATTGAAACCTAACTTGGTGAATGTTATTCGTGTTTCTTTGTACTCACTTGGATTATACAATGAAAAGATTAGCCATCGTTAGACTTCTCAATGAGCGATTTAAGGGAAATGGGGCAAAATAATGAATGAGCATTTGTTTTGTTGTTCTTTCCCCTGCAATCCATTGAAACTTGAATTCAAAGAAAGAAGGAAGAATGTAGAGCTCGTTTGGTAACGTTCCTATTTCTTGTTTCTGTTTCTTCATCGATGAAAAATAGAATTGCATTGCTATAACACAACACCTAGTAGAATTCAAGGAGGATCAAATAACACTTATATATATGTTTGGTAAAAAATTGGAAATGGAAACAAGAAACAAGAAACTTGTTTTTTTTGTAATATTTCAAAAAAAGTGAAACAAGAAACATAATTAGTTGCAAAATGGTTAAGTTTCATGATAAAATTTGGAAACGGAAACGTTACCAAACGTGCCCATCATGTTTTTAAGTTCAAAAAAGGGTTTCAATCAACTCAAATATGGAAAGGAAGAAGCCAAGGCTGATGGCACAATCATTTTACATCAGTTCCTTTACTATTTCTGATGCAGGTTCTAATTTTTTCGGTTTGTCGGTACCGAGATGCCTCGGGAAGGATAAGGATGTTAAGTTTAGGATTATGAGGAAAGTGAATGCTGCTGTGGCTGTTGAAGCCTCTCCAACAGAGGAAATGAAGGAGTATGACTAACCATTTCCCCTTTGATATACAAGTAGACTAGGATTTTGATTTCTATGTCTGTACCCAAATTGCTGTATGAGAAAAATGACGAGAATGATCATATATAGTGTTTAGAAGTATCATGTTTCACTAAATACATTAGTTTAGCTATTGCAATCGTTTAAGAACCGATCGGTTCAAGCTGTGGTTTATCTGCAAACTCTGTCAGGATCAAGCTTCCATCTTGGGCTTTGTTTGAACTCGGAAAGTCCCCGGTGTACTGGAAAACTGTGAATGGTCTACCTCCTGCTTCAGTAAGCATAATAGCACACACTATGATTTGATGAGTTCATCGGTTCTTGTTGGTTATAATCTGAGAAAGCTACATTGGTCCCAAATTTTGATAGGGTGAGAAGCTCAAGCTTTTCTATAATCCAGCTGCGACAAATCTGGTTCCGAATGAAGATTTCGGGATTGCTTTTAACGGTAATGCCTGATGTGCAATCTTTATGTTATCGTAGTTCAACTCCTTGCCCTATTGTAATGATTTTGAGTGAAGTATGTAGCAGGCTAAGAGGACTTGCATCAATTTTCCCTTTTTCCCTTGAAGCTGTAAGCTGAGCTGATTCTTCATTGATTTGTTCAACATGGTGCTGCAGGAGGTTTCAATCAGCCAATAATGTGCGGCGGGGAACCGAGGGCAATGCTCAGGAAAGATCGAGGCAAAGCCGATAGACCAATATACACCATCCAAATATGCGTTCCGAAGCATGGTCAGTTGAGTTGGGAGAACTAATCTTTCTTTCTCTTCACTATTTAATTTTCCTTACATCATCATTTTTTCTGTCCTTTCGTAGCTGTAAACTTGATCTTCTCGTTCACGAACGGAGTCGACTGGGATGGTCCTTACAGGCTTCAGTTTCAGGTTCCCAAGCCTTGGCAAAACAAACCTATTGACTTTTTCAATCAGGTAATGATACACTATACAGTAGGTAATGTATATTTCAATATATGTTTAGCATAATGTATTAAGAATCTCATTCTCGTGTCTCGTCGTAGGGTCTAGCGGAAGAGTTGAGCAAAGATGGCGCTTGCGACAGAGCAATATTTCCAGACACCAACATTGTTATCACGAGATGTGCTATGATTGGTAATCTTACTGTAGAAGGGGTAAGGAAAATCCTTACTGTAACTTTATTTAGTTATGATCATCATTGCTGAAGTTTAGGCTGCAACTAATGAGTTTGATCTATAAATAACAGGGTGACCGTTGCGAACTCAATCTTGTACTAGGCTGCACGGATCCTAGCTCGCATTTATTCAACCCGCTCGCCAATGTAGATGATGGATCTTGCCCAATTGATACCGATACAGAGAGCTAGTTCTATTTCACATGCCCATTTTTCTCGCATCTCATACTACGTCCTATTCGAGTCAATACGAGGCATTGCAAAGGCTTCTCTGCATGTGAAAGGAATCGTGTTGGATAGCGGTTTCTATGTTGTTTTAGCCAAGCTTAGTCCATCCATCAAGCAGGATGCACTGTTGCATCTGCTTTTGGTAGATACAATATCCCTCTAGCTATGTATAGTTATAAAGAAAACCTCCATTGTTACATAAATTAATTGTTATTACTGCCAAATTGCCAATACATAGCTACAAAATTGTTAGTGGCTTTTGTAGTTCTGTCCGTACCACCCACCCTCTGAAAATCTAATTTATAAATACATATTAGAAAATTTAAAATAAATTACACATTCTTCGATTGCACGAGTCCCATTATTTTGTTAAATAATTTTCAAAAATTTATTTATATCTTTTAAGCTTGACTACGTATTCAAACTTACCAATAGATTGGTAAAAAGCAAGTTTAATTTTTTGGAACAGAACTAAAAATAAAATAATTATCAGACTTTAAACAAAATAGTTACGAAAGGAACTTTAAATTTTCCAATATTACCATTTATATCTAAAAAAGTAACATTTTTTTTTCTGTTGTGTGTGGAAGGAAGGGCGAAATTAAAAGAAACCACATTTCCAAAGTACAAAAATGAATAAGAATTTACAAAACTAGAATTTACAACCTCTAGAATTTTATATTCCTCTCAAGCTACAATTCTATTACAAAGTCGTATTAGTACTACAGGCGTTCCTATTCCTGAATTTGCAACCACATACACACAGGTTTATTTCATGCGTGCAATTGCATTCAAAACTTCCAAAAAAAAAAACTTAACTTTATAGTGATCCAGTTAAATGATTACAAAGATGATGCCAAATTTTCAAGTGAATGTATCCTCACGGTCTCCCTCGGCCGTCTCTCCCTCCTCTAAGTTGCTGAACTCTAAGAAATGGGTAGGCCGATGATCCTCGTGGTAATACTCGCGCGGCGTTCCGAGTTTTACTCCATACTTCATGCCTGCTGTATGCTTCACCCCCATGAAGTTGTAGTTCCAGGGGCCATTATCAGGAATCTAAGAGAAAGCAAACGAGTAACAATGTCAGCTCTCCAATGCAGAAAGAAGTAATCGAACTATCCTGAGAGGAGATGAAATTTACCATGTAGAAGCCAAAGAAGCGGTCGCTGAGGAGCATCTGCACCTTCTCATAATGAGTCGGGAGGTACCCGTGTGGATTGCTTCCGGTGTCCTTGTTTACACGTCCCCACTCGTAACCTGATGGGGTTAGCTTATATGCAGTTAACGAGCAGGAACCAGGAGTGAAACTGCAAGTCAAAATGATGCATTTTTCACCATCCCATTGCTTGTTGTTCTCCAAGACTTTAGCGTGATTTGTGAGATCCTACCAGAAGATGGAAAGGAAAAAAAAACCCAATAAATAATCAAATTTACCTCTCCCTGCCAAAAGAAGGCTGGTTAACATTAGAAGGGAAAAAAAGAAAATGGAACCTGTGGTGACAACTGAGGAAGCTCATTTGGCTGCGTGTGCATCCATCCCAATGGCTCCAAATCATTCAAAAAGTCGTGCTCAGGAAGAGCTGTCGGAAGATTAACTTGCTGATGTGTCCCCCACTGGGGTGGCATTACAATACAGCGAATTTCCTTAACCTGAGGATTATCTGGGGGGCTTATTCCATACAAATATCCAGCTATTTGGGTCCGTAGATCTGCAATGCAGATGAATTTCTTCAAGATATTCTTTGGCATGATGTAAGTGTATCCAGTTTCCTGTCAACCATCGCAATTCAAGAGTCAGCCAAAAACAAAAATGTAAAAGTAAGAAAATAGGTTTACAAGGCAAGAAAGTGCAATGTTAGTCTTCACCTTTATATCCTCTGAATTTACATAAATATGATTCACACGAAGATAGAGATTAGTGGCTGATATCGCTCTCACACGCCAATCAGTTTTGGATCCAAAAGCAGCCTGCTCATATGGACTCGTTGTTGTGACAATGAGTTCATCACCGTGCACGTTCGTAGTTCTTGTCGTGACTGCRGTTAGTTGACTTGCTTCTTTGGCCTGAGAAAAAAGGATTGGACAAGGCACAAAATTCAGAAGTAAGAAACTGCAAGAACAAGAATACATCATCTTAACCAATAACTACGTAAATAGAACATACCTGTTTCTCAATCTCAGCTATCTGTTGTCTTTGCTGAGAAGGTGGAGTTATCTCAGCTCCAAGTATGATGTCACGAATTTCAGATTGTGTTAGAGCTGATGTGTTCACATTATTCTTCTTAGCATAGTCTGACAATATAAGATCCCTTAAAGCAACCTCAACCTATAAAATGCGAAGAAGAGATGAAACAATGAAGTTTCATAAAGGTCTGATACATTATGCAAGCATAATTCATTAAATAATTTGAACGATTAAGATTATAATAGGTAGAGACAAACAAAACTGATTAGGGATGTAAAAATGGATATTACCTTCATCCATTGGTCATCTGTGAGAGAAGGCCAGATGTGGTGGGGCTCAGTGATAATTGTTTTGTCTGGCTTTAGCAACATTTTAGCCTTTTCATTGTTCACATGAAGAGCACGCAAGATGAGAATTAGACGGGAGAATGCAGTGTATGATGAAATACTCTTCAGCCAATCATCATAAATATTGAATAGAACCATCTGCGGTTCAGTAGCCTTCAAAATCAAGTCACCAAATTTCTCAATCTTCAAGCAGGCCTGGAATGGGAGTTGCAGCTCACTTCCTTTGATAACTATATTGGGAAAATCAAGCAAGTGAACCTCCAATGGATCAAGCATTCCTTTCCGAGTCACAATAATTTGCTTCGGTTGTTCTTCAACTGGTAAAGAACGTACAAGAGCAGCAACTTCTTCTGCAGTTTTCCACTTGGCCAACTGACCAAGACGCTTCTGTCCAGCCCATACACTTGTATGGATAACCTGTAAATTGCAAGTAATAAGTTATGAAAATGACTAGAATCAAAGAAAGAGAAGTTCCCACTGAAGAAGACAAACCTTTAAAAACAATTGCCCTGTCCTTGGATTGAAAATAAAAATGGCACCATTGATGGGCTTGGTGGTAAGATTTCCTTCAAATGTCTTGTGAATTGTGACACGATAAACATTAGTATCATCAACAAACCATATTATTTGATTGCTGAAGATCTCTCCGTAGTTTTGGGATGACAAATACGGTTCTGTAGGCTCAGAAGAATACAACTGCAGACCTTTGCGTATACGCTCCCTTAGAACATACAAGGCTGGATTTGACTGTATAACCCATCAAGCAATCAGTAATCAACATTTTCCTAAGTTAACTAGAAAACTGAAGACCAAGAATACTATCAGAAGAGTCGTGTACCTTCATGATCTTGTTCATTGCTTGAGCCAATAGCGGTTTTGACCCTGGAAACCAGTTTCCAAATGCTGAATGCAAGTTATATGCAAGATCAAGCCCAATCATCACCCCTGCACACAAACCATGAATGCTTAATTTACGTATAAAATATTCAACACGAAAACCCCAGCAAAGCAAAAAGATAAATTTTACCAGTGGGTGATGGGTATATAGACATGTTGTCAGTGGTGTAATCCATGAATTTGGCACGAGTGTAACGCTCAATATCATGAGAATCATAATCACCCCATCGGAGCTGCACATCAATCCAGTACTTGTTACTTGGTTTTTGATCAAAAACATCCTTTGACTCAGCCACAAGACTAGGCTTTGACATTGGCCATCTATGGGCAGCAAATAGTAGAATATCGGCACAAGAGCTGTTCATTTTGTAACTTTTCCTTGGATGGATAGTTTCTTTCTGCACGGTTTCAATTTCCAAAGCATCCAACTCCTGATCCAAAACCTGACAGAGATCCATGACAACACTCTCATGAATCTTCTGCCACAAATGAGCTCGGAAAATCTGGATGAGAGAGATTTTCAAAGTTGGGATCTTTCCATGCATGAAAATTCCAGTCAGATCTAACTGCACTTGAAATCCCACATAAACATTTGCCCTGTTTATGGTAGGAGACCACCAAAGAGTAAACCTACGGTTAGGAATCTGGTTAAGACCTGATCTCTGTGCATTAGTCAGCTTTTTGTACTTCATAGATTCCTCAAATCCAGATGCCTTCTCCCAAAAGAGACCCTCCCAAGTTGGAAAGCTGAAATGAGAAAACAAGCGAACTGAGCCACATAAAACTCTATTGAAGAAACCAATGATTAATCATTGGTTATAGGTTCACAATCCGAGTGTTATACTACTACACATACTTCATACGAAAGTTTGCTTCTGCCTACGAAATAAAATAGTGTCGAGAGGAACATTTATGTCATAATCTTTCATTAGCCTTTAACATCAAGACCAATAATATCGTTGTAGTACCAATATATGGTAAGTTAAACAAGTTAACAAATGAATCTGAAGAAATAAAATTGGCATTTGCAGCTTAAGTTATCCTCTGAATCACAAAATGAAACTTACTATGTTCCCTTAAATAATGTGTGCTCAAGAATGCCCTCAACACCTCCAAGTGCTTGAATGACATCTGTTCTATAGTTGTTCAAGTTCCACAGCTTTCCATCGTGTCTTTGGTGCGTCCACCAGAAAGGGTTTTGCTTCAAGACCTGATATTGTTTGAAATCTGTGCGGACCCTCCACCCTTTGTCATATGCCAAAGTGTGGCGATCTTTCTGAAACAAAGTATTGATTCGAGGTATTCCCCTGTCCCAAGAATCCTGTAGAACAGCGTTTACATAACAACAATTTAGAATGCTTATTGTCCCTCAGAAGTAACAATAATAATTGGAATACATTCCCAATCATGCCGGACAATCTCAAAGGATTTCAAACACCCCCCAAAGTGAAGAAATAAAAAAATACACATAACGAAAAAGGAAAGAAGGAAACAGAAATTACTTCCAAATCTTCAAGCGTCAGACGCCTATTTTGTGCCTGAGCTTCTTGCCTCTTCAGAGCATACTCAGCCCAAACCCGTTGTGAATCTATGAACTCACTTTCCCAAGGCTGTAAAAACATTGAAAAGCTCATCATTAAGCAAGATATGAAGCATATTATTATCAACACAGCCTATTGTTGCATGGGAAATGAATGTCACCTGTATATATCGGTAAAGGTTTGGAATAAGCTGATCCTCTTCATGGCTCATTCCACTCCTAAAATGGGTTACACCAACATCTGTCTGCTGACTGTACCGGAGATCACTTTGTGGAATCAATATGTGCCCCATGGATAACATGCCGAGACCTCCAATTTCCTTGGGAGTATAGAAAATAACCGGAGGAAACCTGAAACATGAACAAAGTTCATAAAAAGATACCATCTTTGACTTCAATATAAAACAACACTGCTAATGGCAAATTATATTACCTGCTGGGCATCTTTGAATTCAACCCGATCTTAATACGAGTTTGAATTTTATTCTCACATTTAACCAGCAAATCTAGTAGCTCTTGCGTATGTACAGTTGCCTCACGGAAGTAAGTCATGAGACCTATCACAATGAGAAACCAGAAAGGAGAAACGTTATGGAAGTCAATTTACACTAAGAAGTGCCTACAGACCACCACCCTCCCCACCCCCAAACCAAAAAGGAAATGATGGACAAAGTTGTACCAATCAGAGCAGTATTCCATTTGTTGACAATTTTTGTGAATGTTGTAGACCCTGAAGACATAAGAATTTGCCTGACACGATTCTCGAACACCTTCATGTGTTCATCATCAACCCTTAAGAAGGCTACAGCAGTTCTTTCTTTTGTTTGCTCATTCTGCAAATTCCAAACTCCGTCTTTCAAGTTGCTGAATGCTTCTTGCGACATTCTAATTTTAGGAAGTATCCGTACTTCAAACCCACACCTGCCATCAAACAGGGAAACCTCATTGAATAGAGAACACTGATGGAGCAAACACAAGATGCAATTCAAAATTTTCACTGATGCATCTGAAATGCTGAAAATTGCAGGCTTTTAATTATTAATCTTGGTGGATATTTCTCAATTAGGGAACAGAAAAGAAAGAAAATTGAAATACAATTATACAAGTAGTTATTAAATAAATATATGAGCAAATAGTCCAGAAATAATAAATCTGCAGAATTCTTTGATATGTAAATGCAAAGAGGGGAGAATAGATTAAGAGGCGCATACATGCTGAAAAGCAAGTTAGGATTGTCTTTGCTATAAACAGACACAAAGCTGTTCTCCCACTCTAAAGTTGTGATACTGCGAGGAAGACGATTCTTCATATCCCAGAAAACACTTCTTCCAAGATTGACTGAAAAAGAGAAAACCAACTAATTCATCACAAAATGTATATATAAATGAGATCTGAAGGGGGAAGAAAATGTCTCTCATTGATAAACGACCAGTAACATCCTCATAAAACTATAGACATGAAGAAATGGGAGTACCATCATGCTTCATGAGCCTCATTCTTGCATCTCTTGGCCAGCACTTCTTGTTGTTATATCCAACCATATTTTCATTGTTTGGATCGGGGTGCTCAGTGAGATATCTCTGAATAAGGTCTCGAGCCTCTTCATGAGTAAAGCGGAATAAAATATGTACTTTGTCTATATACCGGGAATATAACCGAATTGGATGTCGTGTCTCCACCTTTGTGTCCCAATAAGTAATGAATTCATTGGGCATCTGAGGTGGGCCAGCAATTTCACTGGCTCGAGTCAATCCAAGAAGCAACAGATCCAGCACCAGTCCATAATACTGAACCACAAAAGAAGCAAACTGAAGACCACGTATCAGACCATATGAATTTGTGTGGCTCATATCTTTGTAAGACAAGACTACATTGTTCTTTGCAGTAACATAATCAGCAATATTATGATCCAGAACCAATCGAAGAAGCCTGCAAATATTCAAGAAAACAGGATGAGTATCAGTTCGTGAAGTTGCAACTTCCTTTGTACTCGTTTAGTCTGCAATTCAGCAACTTATCGAACACTTACCTATTTAACATTGTTAAATCTATCTTCTCAAAGAACTTCTCAAATTTTGTCTGCAGCATCACCACACACTGCCCTTCACTTGTGTCCCATATACCTTGCAGATTGTTAATACCCTGACACCACTTATAAACCAAGAGAGGTGGTGGCTCAGAGTCTGCAGGCTTAATCCAGTTGGGAAACAAATGGCGCTTGTCACCTTCATACCATAGATACTGGTCAAGATATGCATCTGTAATTTTTTCAAGAGGCTCAATCTCATAAACCGGTATGAGGTAACTGTACAGATCCATAAACTCTATGCCAACCTGCAAAAGTGCAATATCAGTTCACGTTCGTCTGCAGGTGACCAGTGTTGATAATCAGTTGATCGTATATGCCAAAGAAGAGAAGAAAAGAACTTACCTCTTTGAAGGCACGTTGTGTGAGCAGGTGACGCTTAATACGTGAAAGTGCCTCATGTGGGTTATCATAAGCTTGTTCAATGAGACCAAGTTCTTCTCGCTGAAGTTGATTTAACCTTACAGCCACACTGTAGGATTCCTTTAACCTCTCTAAGGCAAGGATGAGTAATTTTGTGTCATGCTTGTAAGACAATGGAGGGAAAGGAATAGGAGAAAACTTTCTTGACTCCAACCAATGCACAGTGGTCGTGTAAATGGCAACTGCTTCTTCAGGTGTGACATATGGACCATCTTTCAAATAATTATGCTGCCGTTCCTACAAGATGAGAAAGGAATCTAAGAATTGAGAAAGTTGGTAAATGTAATATCTTAGAACGCCATAATTAAGGTCTTAAGAGGTTAAAGTAAAGTAACACAGCTGAGATGCTACTCTAACTGATAGAACAAGAACGAAACAAATAAGAACAATAAATAAGAGAAACAAACCTGCTCAGCCTTTAGCCACAGACGTGTCAACCTCCCAAGATTCTTCCTACAAACAGTCTTATCAACTGTAGCACCTCTTCTTATACGTTCCCGATTATAATGAGCAACATTTGTCCACCAATCAGCTTTTGACTTGACATAACGAAGAATCATATTCTCAATAGGAACTGGCAAACCAGGAACCTGAACAAAACCCAGAAATGCAATTAATATCTAGATGTGGGAAACATGGGAAAGAAACAGAAGAGCTCAGAAGCAGACGTGTACCTTCCAAGGAATATTTGCTTTCCAACATCGCCATGCCTCACTTAGGTGCTGCAGGATAGTTCGAGCTTTATTTTGCTTAATGCCCTCTGCAAGAACATTATAAAGAGAAGGAAAAGCGAACAGCAGTTAAATATTGAGAATATTAGAGCAACACATGCTCAAAAAACAAAAATAGGGAAATTTTAAGTTGGTACCAGGCATAGCATCAAGAACATCATGCATGACTGCTGCCCGAAGTTCCAAATCAAAATGACTCTCAACACGCTGTTTGGTGACTGTCTTTGCCACTCCTTTTGAGTGTCTTCCTTCAAATTGACGAGCAAGCAAATTTCCTAGCCACCGTTCGAGAAGAGGGACTATACCGCGGAGAAAGAATAACCAGACTCTCCACATTGGTGCCCAAAATCCACAACCAGGCCCTTTTCCCACTGGACCAGTATTGAAACGATAGTATATCAAGTGCTTCAAATCTTTACACATTCTAATTTGACGCATAAGTCTGTACTTGTATCTATACATGCCAGTGAGCTGCCCAACATGTGAAAATATATATTGCAGGCCATCAGCCAATTGAAATGCATCGACATTGCCCAAACGAAACTGAACATTAGCATCAACAACAAGCTTTGTCAATCTCAATATTTCACGACAGAGGTGAAAAGCATTTCCAAATCGCGACTTCTTACGTTCTTTGGTGGTAAGGGTCTTCACTGGCTTCAGATTGAAGTTATAATCAAGATGAAGATAGTTCAAATTCTTTCGATGAATCAATAAGTTCAGCATGTTGTACCCCTGCTTGCAGACTTGTAGACCTGCTTCAACCCAATCAAGTTCGGTTGTCTGGAAAAACTTGGTTGCTTGAAGTGATCGGAATAAATGCTTCTTCTTCTGAGCTTTGGGTGGCCTATGATGCAGCTCATTCAACACAAAACATTTCAACAACTTCTGATAGCTAACCCTTACCTTAACAGGATATGATGGAGGACTGCACACAATGCAATGAGAAAAAATCAGAAACTTGAAACGACTAAAACAAGTAAATGAAATTTACAAAATGAGTACATTCCTACCAGTGTTCCTTGTACCACTCTGAAACCAAGGGAATATCTTCAGCCCGCCGTGTCCTACCAGATCTCATATTAAATGGGCGTGGGGCAAACAGAAGAGAGATGCCAGCAGCTGTGGTGTCTGTATAAAGTTGAGTATCCTTCAAAAAAGGTTCAACCCCCTCTGGCAACTCAAAATCATCATCATCTTCATCATCGTAAGTTCTCTTTTCACGACGATCTTTGTTAGTGCTGGCTATTGGATGTATTAAAGGATCATAGTAAAATGCTGGTAAATCAGGATCTTCAGTCTTTATGAACATGACCATAGGAGTGTGATATAAACCAAGCTTCACTTTCCTTGGCCTGTTGTTATAAAGATGAGGAAATGCTATTCGATACTCCGTTCTGAGAGGTGACCGTATTATGAGTTTGTTGATGTCATTGAACTCATTCCAGTCTTCATCCCCCTTCTCCATGTCCCGATACAATGGCTCAAACTTAGGGCCACCTAAAGAAGCATGATAGACATAAATTACAAAAGCTTAGCAATAATCAGCCAAATACATCTGTAGTCTCATTCAAGCCACTAGCAAACGTTATTAAAGATTGCATAGAGTAGATAAATATGGGTATGATAGGGCTGGAAGAGAAAGAGGAGCAATCTCTCATGTCGGCTTCAACTATACTAAGTTGCAATATAAAATAGGAAGATCAGACAACAAAAATAGGACATCCTGGATCAAGATGAAGGTAAGCATTTTTAATGAACGTAGTTTGAAGAACTGACATGGCTTTGAAATCACAAGAAGTAGGTAACACAAATTATTTGACACTACGCAGTGCACATTATAATGAAGGTACTTCCAAGGATCAAATCATTTTATGCAGAAATTATATCTCATCTACTTGCAAGGGCTGTAAAAACATGAAGCTAATGAAGAGCCTAACAGAACCCTATCTTCCTGACTAAAAACCGAAGCTATTGATTCCACAAAAACTTCAACGAATGATGTGATGTTATCCAATAAAACCCCCTCCAGCCCGCCCATTCTAGTGTGGTGAGGACAATCTTTTTTAACAAAATAATAATAATAACTTTCATGTGCAAACATAAAACTAGAAAGAAACAGAGATCAAAAAGGCATACCTGGTATACACATGTTCAATGCTTTGGCAGTAAAAAATGACTCCATATCAAACAAGTAGAAATAGTTGCGATCAATTAAATCAGAGAGTAACTGTCCAGCTAGCCGATGAAGAGTTGCCATGATTGGAAGGGAAAGATGCCATTTTCGGTAACTTGGACCATTAATAAGTTTTGTTTTAACAAGAGGCTTATGGTCATAGAACCAGGTGTAAACCGCAGAATCTTCCTCTTCATCCATCTCTAATTGAATTGGTTCTAAAGGATCAACATCCAGCAAATTATCAGCATAATCTAGTGGAGGTTCCTCATCATCAAATGGTGGAAAACGCATCCTCTTGAAATGTCGACGGTCTCTCTTCTCTCTTCTCATCATAATCCACATGGTTCCCCACTGAAAAATTTTCACAACGTGAATCAAGGATACCATTGCTACTGGCGCAACATAATTATAATCATTCTAATTGTGATCCAAGTAGTTCATATACAACATTATCCACTGCAGTAATAATCTGGAAAAAAAAACAAAGAGACGGTACCTGAGCCAAATATATTGGTTCAACCACCCACGGTATTTCGTTAACAAATGTAATTGCTCCGGTAATATGATATAGAACCTTTACATCACGAACCTGCAATTTCAAGGTAATATGTTTAACAATCAAAAGAATATTAAGAAATGTATTGGTTTGAAAACAGTCACAAAATATGAAGGCAAATGTTACCTGCTCCCAGGGCATTGGCATGTTTTCAAGAAGCTTGTAAACTGCATGCGGAACAAACTTTAGGGCACCAAGATAAACACGTTTATCATGGCGGTATTTTTTTGAGGACATGTCCCCATGGTCTCTGCCAAAGATGAATTTTTTTTAATACAATATAACTATAATTTAACCAGTGTACTACCAAACCAGATTCACAGATAAATTATTTCAGGATGATAACATAAGCCTTTTTAAAAAACAAAACAAAGGAATTTTTATTAATGAAGGATATACAAAACAAAAAGAGTAAAGCATCTAGGAGGCCCCATAGGACGTGACAGAAATAACTGAAACCCATAAATCACCCCAAGAGACTTCAACTTAGGAAGGGTTCTCCGATTCCTTCCAACCAAACTTACATCCAAAATAGCATCACTACAACGGCACCAGATAATTTTTTTTCTTCCCTTTAGAGGATAACAACAGAAACATAAAGAAACTAAAATTTCCATTTACTGTACTCCCAATGCCAAATATTTCCATATCTAAAACAAAGAAAATTGAATTATATATCATCAAGACTCATTTGGCGGTTGGACGGCATGAGGCCTGAATTTTATTATAGTTCGTCAAACTAATCTAACAAGCAGTTCGATAGATTTAAGACTTTCAATTGCTTGTTTTTAATAATATTCAGTTCAATAAAAGGTCATTTACAACATGGTAAAAAGTACCCGGCTCCTTAAAACTACCACAGCAAAAAAGCAATAAAGAAATGAATATATCATCTAGAGACATAAGAGTTCGTCCCTTGAAGCCGATAACGCACAAAGAACAACTCTGAAATTTCTTTAAGTTTCTTTAAGTTTTAAGAATTCGAATACTATGAAACTTAGTGCGAGCTAAACTTGTTGAATTGAAAATGTGAAAATTTTAGTCGATGAAGTGGATGTCAAGACCAAACAATAATTGAGAAAATCTACAATTGGAATTGTGAAAACGGCAAGAATTAACTCGAACTGCCGAAACTAAAAGACTACAAACCGCCTTATACAATTTTCACAAATTTTTTGGCAAGCCCAAGTTTATTTGAACATTCCACCAGCTCGCCAAAAGAAAAGGTCAAGAGAAAAATAAATAAAAGAATGAAGATAAGAATTCAAATGTTCGCTGTAATCTCCATAAACATAACTCACTCACCTAATGATCTTCCTCACATGCTCGCGGGGCATGTCCTCCTTCTGGGTCTCGACAAACCCAAACTTCCTTTTATCACTGTACCGCTTCGAATTCAGCTGCTGCCATTTCCTAGCTTTCTCTTCGAGTTTGGCCTCAGCCTCAGCAGGAGAAGGCAAGACCGTGTACGAAGGCTGTGCAGCAGGCGGCGGCGGAATAGACGAACCACCAGTTCCTGGTGGCGCAATCTGCCCATTGTTCCACATATTGACAGCAAGTTTAAATCTAAGCTAACAATAAAGACGTAAAATCTCCAAACTCCCGATCGGTTGCTGAGCTGAAAAGTCTTTACACGGCGAGATAAAAGACGTAGAAAGCGTGTTCGCTGGTAAATGAAGAAGCTAGCAGAGCTTCTTCAATGGCGGTTTCTAGGGCTTTTGGGGGTTAAGCTGCTCCCTCGCCCGCTCACTGGCAGCGAGTAGTGGGAGAGGAGACGAAGAGAAACGAGTAAAAAGGATGAAATCGGGTCGGATCTTTATATTCGGTAAGTGATTTAACCGACCCATTAATATGTTTGCTTTTAATATGGGCCTACAGAGCTATAGCATTGTTGGGCCTCTACAGTCCTAAAAAGCCCAGACCAGAAAAGGGAAAAAATGAGAGAAAAAATTTTGCGGTGAGCGTGGATCGAACACGCGACCTTCAGATCTTCAGTCTGACGCTGTCGCAACTGAGCTATCCCCGCAACTTGTTTAATGAAACATATATAAATTTATTCATATAATAACGTTTTTCCTTGTCAAACTCAATTTTAGTTTCTACTCGTTAGTAATACTAGTACAGCTTTTATGGCGGCAGATCTTTCCAAGCTAGTAAATGATTTTAAACTCTTACGGGAAAAGGATTATTATTGGGCAAAAAACAACTTCGGCACATGGAAGAGAATTATTGTTAGGTGAAAAACAACGTACATGGAACGCAACTCTACTGAGCAATGACCCTTGCATATGTATGGGTATGAGGTACCCCCAARTATAGGGGCATAAAGGCCAAAGGGTCGCCAACTTCTGAGTAATAAAAGAAACAAAGAACAACTTTGGCACATGGAAAATAATGGAAGCTTGTAAGAAAGATCTTCCCTAGATTTAGAGGTAGTGGCCGACCTTCATACTCAACCATAAAACTGTAGACTCTACCCAACTGAAGGTGTTGCCCAACACTGACCTTCAGGAATGGACTCTCCAACAAGTATAATGGACAATCGAGAAGCCCTATTAAATTGCTACCTATAAATAGAAAAGCCGCAGTATAATGGACAATCGAGAAGCCCTATTAGACTACTACCCTATAAATAGAAGGCCTCACTTTGATGTCAAATAATCTATTCTATTTCGATCTAGTCTCCAAGGTCAAACTTTTACCGACTTGAGCATAGGAGTACTTGCTTCTTTTGTGCATGTCCTTCCTCCCTAACACTCTAGCCCAACCCAATACTTCGAGAACAGTTCCGACCTTGACCGAAAAGTTGCACTAACGATTCAATTTGACCTCGTAGGTGCCTAAATCCTTGAATGCATTGTTAAACTATGAATTTTAGGTTCTCTCCAACCGGTAGCCACATTGTTCTTCTAGCCATTTCAAATAATTATTCCACAGGAAGAGAACAGAGCTTACCACCAACACCAAGGGAATCCCAAAAATATCCCATTTGACCCATTTTGAGTTTTATTTCGTTCTATTTCCTTACATGTTCCTCTTTGTAGAAGCCAACATTAGAAACAATTCGGCATCAAGAGCAAGAGGAGTTTAAGAGTGTCAATGAAATAAGAGAATGACATAGAAATCTTTGAATTTCTGAGAAATCCCATCAAATGGCCAACACAAATTAAGCCAAACAAAATAAATTCAAGCTCTTGCACTCTTATTGCCTTGCCAAGAGTAAAGTCTTCACATGTGAGACCGATCTTCAAATGCCTAAAGGCTAAGCTAATAGGAACTTCTTTATAGTCTCCTACAACTGTTCTTATTTGTCAAATAATAAAATGATACATCTATTCCCTATTTCCAGACCTACTTTCTTAGGCCTTTCATATTATGGGCAACATCTGCTGCATTTGTTTAAAACCTACAGCTCCCCCAATTCTTGTAACAACAGAATAAGGACATACACTGTCTTCTTATATAGACTTCATTAGAACAGTTTTTCCTAGAGAGATTCGTCTTCATCTTTCTTAGTGGTCTCGTCTGAATTTAGAGCACAACGGATGACAGAGTTCACCTGCATCCTTAATCGAGCATTGTCGACAAACACACTAGCTAACATCTTCCTTAATGCTTTGTCAGGTGCCCCTTCACCAGCCCCATTTGAATTGGCTGATCCAGCTGCACCATCAGCATCTTCGGCATCCCGAGCGAGAAGCTTTGCCTGAGCATGTGTACGAAAACTTGTATCATTCAGGATCAAGGTATATAAAGAGAGGAGAGAAATAGAAGGGAACAACAGAGAAAGATGCAAATATATTTTAATAGGAACAAACACGATACCTCTGCTAAAAGAATGCTAATGTGATTATCAGATGATTCCAATAGATCTATAGCATCATCAGCAGTTGAAGCAGTTTCCAAAATTAATTTATCTTCATCCTCAATGAGAAAGTCAACACTAGAGTCTTGAAGACGGTCGTGAAGAATTTCACAATCATGCAGAAGCTTTTGATTAGCAACATCAGCATGCTCTATTCTTTGCCTTTCAGTTTGAAGTACCCTCTAAGAAAAATAGAAGAAAGAGTACATGGTCATAGAGATTATTAGAGAGGCAATAAACATTAAATACAAAGGAAAAAAGTTTACCAAAATAGCATAAATTGCATAAAAAGGATGTATTGCACTCGATTATTAGATGCAACGTCAGTGTAGAAGAACCATTTTCATTGACATTTGATACCAAAAGTTAAATCCTTTATCCGGGCTTACATGCCATTCCTCTACCAATTTTTGTTTCCTTCTCGAAATCTATAGAGTAACGATTTTCATTGATCGGAAAACGTATCTCTTTTGTCATTTATCGACTCGATGTGCAGATTATTTGCCCTACCCAACATTATACTCTGGCACTGGCACCTAGCTTAAATGATTTCTCGCTCAAAATGCTTTAAGCCGCAACAACCACAAGTCTAGAAGGTCGAAGAAGTAGAAACATAGGTTGACGGATGCGGAATGGGACATGAGAGAAATACGAAGTCTATAATAATGCCAGGGATAAGTTATTCCAATTATAGAGTTAAAGAAAACTGAAAACGGCAAGAGTCTTCAAATCTCCAAGAAGAAAACAATAAAGTAAATCTTAACCAGCTAAAAGCATGGCAAATGATCGAATAAGTGTCTGACAAAATGAAGAGGGCACATCACCAGGAACCTGTATTGAAATCTACACGGGAGAAACAGAGAAATTTACCTCTAATTCTGATCTCTCATTCTTCAATTGGTTACACTCCTGCTTCAAGTCTAACTGAGTACCTCGAAGAGATTTAACTTCTTTGGCAAACAACTCAACATCTGCCTTTGATTTTGCCACAAACTCTTCATATTGTTTTTGCAGGTACTCGAGCTGCTCTCTTGAAGCATCCAACTCTTGCAGCAAAATTTTGTTCTCCTCTAAACTTGACGTTATTGTTGATTCTGCAGGCACCTGTTCATCCTGGAATAATTTTTCAAGGCATTCTATTAGCTATTTGAAGTTTAAATGACAGTGAGATCAAACAAACAAGTAATAAAGCAGAGAATTCAACCCCTCCAGATTCTAATTTTACATCCAATCTTTAGGGATTTCTCTTTTCTTGTTTCCTCTACACATTTCCTTTTAAGCTCTATTATATCCACTTGCATTTGGGAAAAGTTTTCATTTTTATTCAAGATCGCATGCTGCATGTTTTGCTTATAACCTCCACGCTGGTGGTTTCAAGTAGTTCCAAGTCTCTGACCTGCATTGAGATATCATCCTAGAAATGGAATACAGAAGTGATGATGAATTCAAAACCTTAGGGTACAAGGATTTAAAGGCAATGAAATAACACATGCTACTCTAAATGCAAAATCATTGAAACAGTGACCTAAATTGATAAAAGATCCTTCTACAAATATGAAAATGTTGATGTATACTTATAATTTATAAATAACAGATATATAGTCAGGAAAACGGGAAACCCTCTTGAGAATGTTTTCTCCGCTTAAATAAAACATTAAAGCATGCAATACTAAAAGTTAGCAAATTGTTTGATGTAGGCGATGAAACAAAACCACGGGGCCGAGGATTGGGCCAATCTCCTGTATGAACAATCTAAATGGAAGTTCTGATATTGAACAACTCCAGAATGGAAAGGGAAAAAGAACGTGAACTCCCATACATTGAAGCATCTGATCTTACACATCATGAAGATATTTCAAGTATCTAAAACTGAAGCATATAAATGATCCGCAATCAAAATTGGCCATACCTTTGTTGCAAGGAATTGTCCCACAGACACGTCTTGGTTCAATCTTACAACAATATCTTCCATGTCTACTCCAGCTTTCTCCAATGCAGGTTCATGCACTCCCAGTTTTGCACCCTCATCATCTCTATATCTTGAATCTCCAAGTCCAGGTTCCCCATAGCAAGTATCATCACGTGGACTGGAGGCAACAGAAGAAGCATCAATAGACACAGTTGAGCTTCCCAGCAGAACTGGTTGGACCATGATATTATTAGAAGAAACCTCATCTGATGGGTGATTAACATCACTGAAAACTGAAAAATTAAAATTCAAAGAATCAGCTACCAGTCAACATACAACACTAATAGACAATCATCATTCACCAAATCTGTCTAATATATTCACTTAAATCACGTTTGGTTGCTCAAGATTTTATTTCTTGATTTTATTTCTTATTTTGTCAACAGCATCAACACCTACAAGATCTCACAGCAGCTTCCAGCTCAAGAAAGCTTGCCACTGAAACACTTCTTGAAACATCAATGTCTGACAGCAACTTTTCCATCCATTCCTCTAAGGAAGACCTCCGCTGCAATGAAAAAATTTGTAGCATTTTAGATTATTTTCAGTTCCCAGATTTGATGTGTCATCATATTTAACAAGCACGATTGTTTGTCAGTCATAAGTTGTACATCATTCAAACTTGATTAAACGTTTTAACCTTCGAAGATATGATATAAAAATAAAGACAGAAATGAAACACAAGGTTTTACTTACTTCTTCGTGAAACGTACTGTTTTTCACTCTCAAAACCTTCTTTGGAGGAGCTGGAGGCAAATGCTTCTTAGGAAATGCTCTTTTGAGCTACAAAAGATAAAAAAAAAATAGCACAAATATGATAAAAGCATGAAAACAAAAAAGCTTAAAGATCAATCTACCAGATCATAAATGAAAGGAAATTTTACATTGAAGCCTAAAATTAATATAAATGGTACATAATGAGGAATAGACAATGGTAAGATTTTATTAAAAAAATAGAAGAGAATAACTGTTACCTCATATAATAGATCTAGAAACTCATTAAATCTTCTTAATATTTCTCTTGTAGAGGTGATACCTTCTGGTGATTGCAATCCAACTTGAACCGTGTAAAACTGTAAATTTAATTGTTAAATCAGAAGATAAAAAGACAAAGATTTTTATTATTATTTTTTATATTTTTTCTTTTTTTGGTAACGGGAGTCGTAACTTTGCTCCCCTATACCCGGGGAAGTCCATACCCACCCCAAGGCCCAAACCTGAGAGACATCAAGATTTTTGTATTAATCCCACCTAATCCCACCTAAAGGTTTGAACTTTAGACCTCTGAACTTGTATGACCAAAAAACCTCAAGATTTTTGTATTAATCCCACCTAATCCCACCTAAAGGTTTGAACTTTAGACCTCTGAACTTGTATGACCAAAAAACCTCAAGCCCTAGCCAATGGGACTGCATGGTGGCAGGCAAGATCTTTAAAAATATTGAGCACTACAGCCATGTCAAACACAAATAAGGGTACATCTAGGAACATAAGCACTCTATAAACAAACTTATAATAACAAGAATACTGCAGATTATTGAACAAAATAGTGGGCTTAAAAAAATAAGATCATATTCTATCCTCAAGATTCAAGAGTGAGATAGATAAAAAGCAGGAGAAAATGGGACAACGCGATGATTTGGATAAATATCTTATAAAATTTAACCTATATACACTATGTTTAAAATAAAATCTACAAAATAAAATGGAAGAAAACTTGATACCAAGAAAAAAGGGAAAATAGTGAGGACTTTATTTTAAAGACAAATCTTCAAAATTTTGACTTGTTATATTAAAAAAAGAAAGTTGCATACCCTAATATAATTAGCATGAATTTTTCATAAAGAAAATGCTGGGAGTAAAATCATCTAAAACTTGTTCAAGCAAATTACATATATATCTATCTTATCAAACACTATGAAAAAAAAAAGGGAAAATGAAAAGGAAAAGGAAAAGGAAAAAGACCATAGATGGATAGGATTCGAAGGTCAAATCAAAATAAGAATAACTCACTCATAAGTCCCATGAATGCACACGCATCAACAATAGCTATTATTTGTGCACTCAAAGAACAAATAACATAAACAAAGAAATTACCACCACAGGATCTGAACCATTTGATTTGGGAAGAGAAGTCCAAGAAGGAACTGTAACACAATAACT